TTCGTTATTGCCATCGTCAATTGCAAATGTATGTGTAATATCTTCTACTTCTCGTGCGTTCGTTCGTTTAAAAGGGCAGCATGGATGCTGTATGGCGATTTACTGCGAAGCTGTGATGCCTATGCCTTTCGGGCATACATACCCATATCAGTGAACCCCTATTTAGCGGTCTTTTACGACATGTTTGCTAGTCATATGGTTCACACCCACTCTCACCCACCTTAGATGGGACATTTCAACCACCACGGGAATGTGTAATATAAAAGACACAAACGTTCCTTTACGGGTTTTGGTGCGTAATTTTCGGTGGGGGGGGGTGGGGGGGGGGGGGGGGAAGGCCAAATATCCAACCTCTAACAATTATGTTGCAAAAGGCGAACAATTAACGATTTGCAGAAATCAGATGTGTTATGTCGAAAAATGCAGATATCGTCTGTGCTTTCAGGGTTCCTCGCAATGTGGACTGAGTTTAAAGAGAGAAAGATCCCCGTGAGGGTTCTGGGGCCCTATTATTGGGAGAACAAGAATAGACCCACTGCCTACCCAAAAGCATGTCGTAAGAGTCGACTAATTGGGAGCTTCATTCGAAGTCAGTGCATCTGCCTGAAAGGCAAGGAACCAACAATCTGCACACAAGTGAGTCAGGTCTGTCAAACGGGGGGGGGGGGGGGGGGGGGTGGGGGGGGGGGGGGGGGGGGGGGGGGGGGGGGCGGGGGGGTGGGGAGGGGGATGATATAGAAGGCTGAAGAAGATTTGATACATTCTCCGTGTGTGTTCCGGGTCCTATTGTTTTGGAACAGAATCCTAGCTGACTAGCAGGCATGTCGTAAAATACCACAAATTAGATATATATATATATATATATATATATATATATATATATATATATATATATATATATATATATGTGTGTGTGTGTGTGTGTGTGTGTGTGTAAAACCAGGAAGCCGCAGTGGCGTAGCGGTAACACGCTCACCTGCCGGGCCAGTGTTATGGGTACGAATCCGCGTCAAGTCTAATTTGTGGGAAAAGCTTCACGGGGTTGCATGGTCTGAGAACGCATGCCGGAAGAATGAAATGCGAGGGTGCTCCACGCAGTAAACGCCGTCGCAAAACTACCACTCCTGTGGTAGTTTCTGAGTCGTCAGGGTACGACGGGCAGGGTGAACCCCACTCGCCTGGAGAGGCCCATGACGTCGACTGCGGAGGAGCACCTTTGATGATTTCTGATGAAGTGCGTTCCAGAATCAAGTTTCCACCTGCGAGCGAGAAGGTGGTGTGGTGTAAGTTGGAGGCTACATTATGTAAGATACTTAAACAAACTCTAAACAAGAAGCCGCTAGGCGACAAGCTTATTAAATTTGGTGATGTAATATATGAACACTGCTCCCGCGAGTTCGGGACAATAGTAAAGGCACAGCCGGGTGCCAAGCAGAATACTAGCAGGAGGCAGAGGGACATTCTGAAGTGTCGGGCAGACAAGAATGCCCTCAGAAAACGGTTCAAAGCCGCTACAGGCAGCGAACGGGAGGGGCTGTACGAAGTTTGGTTGCATTTAAAGAACAAACACAGTGCCCTCTGTCGCGCAGAGCGTTTCTGTAACAACAGACGCAGAACCAAAAGGGAGCGAGAGAAATTCTTTAGGGACCCGTATCAGTTTGCCCGAGGTCTATTCGAGCAACCGAAGTCTGGGACTCTGGTTGTCAGTCAGGACGAACTTGAGCTACATCTACGCAAGATGTACTCTGATAAAAAGAGGAGAGAGCCTCTCGATGACAATCCAGAGATCCTTAGCGGTCTTAAACAGCCTTCGGTGCCGAAGGTACCATTTAAAATGGTACCTCCCCTTTGGTCTGAGGTTGAGGACGTTGTGAAAAAGGCCAGCGGCAAGTCTGCCCCAGGTCCGAACGGTGTTCCGTACGTTTTTTACAAGCGTTGCCCGAAAATCCTAAAAATGCTTCACGTCTTGTTGAGACAAGCGTGGATCCGCAATCACATATGTCCAGAGTGGTCAAAGGCAAATGGGGTCTACATTCCCAAAGAGCAGGACTCGAAGAGTCTTTCCCAATTCAGGCCCATCTCGCTGTTGAATGTCGAGGGTAAGATATTCTTCTCGGTCATGGCTCGCCGGCTCACACAGTATCTGATGACTAACAAGTACATAGATACGAGTGTTCAGAAGGGTGGCATTCCAGGCGTTCCTGGGTGCCTTGAACACGCGACCATGATTTGGGAGGCTATCCAGAGAGCCAAGCATGAGAGAACACAATTGCACGTAATATGGTTAGACTTAGCCAACGCCTACGGGGCAGTCCCCCATAGGCTACTGTGGCGAGCCCTTCGCATGTTTCACGTACCGACACAGATCAGTCAAATGATCGAGCAATATTTCTCCAAGTTCGCTTTGCGCTTCTCTACCTCGACGTTTACCACGAGGTGGACTGAGTTGCAGATTGGGATAGCTATGGGCTGTACGATCTCACCTATACTGTTTGTCATGGCAATGCAGATCATGTTAGACGGGGCGGCCGGCTACGGACAGGGCCTTCAAATAGGGGACCACTGGTTGCCGCCACTACGCGCATTTATGGATGACACGACTATAATAACGGGCAGCGAGGAGTCTGCCCGCACGATCCTGAAAAGATTGGACGCGGTGGTCCAATGGAGCGGTATGCAGTTCAAACCGCAGAAGTCGAGGAGTCTGTCAATCCATAAGGGCAAGGTGTCGGCAATCAGTTTTACGGTGGCAAGGAACAAGATCCCTACGGTTCTGGAGGAACCGGTGAAGAGTCTCGGTCGCGTTTACGATTTGAAGTTATCTGATAGAGCGGAGGTCCGGCGAATACACGAGTCACTGGCTACAAGCCTGCTCGCGATCGAGCGATGCAGGCTGATCGGAAAATTCAAGGTATGGTGTCTCCAATTCATGTTGATTCCAAAGCTCCTATGGCCACTGTTAGTCTACGAGGTGACGATGACTGCAGTGGAAGCCATGGAGAAAAAAATCAACACAGCCTTGAGAAAGTGGATTGGTGCACCGCCTTGTCTGACCGACGTGGCTCTGAATTGCAAACAGGCTAAGCTGGTACTTCCGTTCAAGTCAGTAACCGAAGAGTTTAAAGTCGGCAAGGTAAGACTCGCCATGCTTTTGCGCGAGTCTTCAGACCCAAATGTCATCGCTGTCCAGCCCGCTCTAAAGACTGGAACCAAGTGGAGAGTCCTCGATGCGATAGAATCTGCCCAGAATGCACTAAAATTGAGAGAGATAATGGGTTACACACAACCGACCGTCGAGGCCTAGGGCACGGGAAGGTCAATTGGTGGTCAAAGGCCTCAGCCAAAGAGCGCCGAGACATGGTAATACAAACGGTGAGGGACAACGAAAACGAGGTTCGGGTCCAGAAAGCAGCCCAGCAGTCGCAGCAGGGCCATTGGGTCCACTTCGCTCTACAATGTGGTGAAAGAACTAGGATTGCGCGGTAATGAACTGAAACGAACACTCAAAAAACTGGGAGAGGTGGCCGAAAGGGCCTCTAGCTGGCTTTGGACGCAGCGCAACAACGTAGGGGACGGGCCTCGGTGAGCTGGTCCGGGTGTCTAGTGGAAAAGAGTTTCTTATCCCTTTGAAAGTCCATCGTGTCCGAATTGTCTGCCAGTGTTCCTCTGCCAACTGCTAATAAAAGTCCAACATGTGTCCGGTAAACCAAAGTAAGCTTGTCGCTCGGTCGTCCAGGCATGCTGACTGCTTTAATTAGGCTGCCGTGGCGGCTTCTTATCTCACAGTACCTCCTTCGAAACCACCAAGTCGTCTTGTCTCTGGCCGAAATAATAACACCATCCGGTAATTCCGTGCAGCGGGGAACCAGCCCTGAGCTTCATGAACTCAGGAGGGCCTACCTCCGAATACGTCTAGGAATCGTGGGCCGAAACGTGTGTCGACGAGGATAATTTCTACTGACGACTGGTAGATCCCCGCTGTACTTGCTCCCTGTGAGTTTATTCCTATTGTTTGAAGTGACGGGCTTCTAGATTTAAATGTTTACCAGGTAAAGTCATGGGAAGTAAAGTCAGCGAGTCCAATCTTGATAACATCCCCCATTGGAGTGCCGACTGGTGTATTAAATTATGAATTTAGTTGCATATGTTCTATATAAAGTGGACGTGAAAACGAGAGAGACGGAGACAGAGTGGGGCCCAGCAAGCATTTTGACATTAAGTAAGCAAGCAAAGGTCATGATTCCTCAGGGAATGTGGGTCACATTACGTAATAAACGCTTTCCTGTCAACAATGTATTCAATAATCACCCAGGACTCCAGGACCGCTCTGGCACCTACATTGAGTTGGGAACAAGTGTTCTGTGTATATTCACATACATGTAAGTTTCTTCTCTTTCATAACACTTTAGAGTTAGTTGTGTTCTTTGCATGACGTTGCAGAACCAACCCAACGTTTGTGTGTGTGTGTGTGTGTGTGTGTGTGTGTGTGTGTGTGTGTGTGTATCTGCTGTGGTTTTCCAAGCAAATAAAAAGTTCAGTAGTTTGCCATTGCCATCATACGGTCAGCTCTGAATAATATTGTCGAAACCAAGGCAAGACAAATCGTCCCAGCTGGGATCGAACCGGCACCCCGGCATTAGGAAGTGCTTTCGCAACGCCTAAATCACCCAAAACACTTTGGTATTTTTTTTTTTTAGCGGAACAAAATTAAGTGGTCCAGATTTCATTTAGAAAAACGACACCAGCTTTAGAATGCAAGCTTTTGTAAATCAAACTTGACCCTATTGTCCCTCACTGTATATACTTTAGTTTGTTACATGTTGCATTTGATTTGCGAAAGGATGCATTTGATTTGCAAAAAAAGTGAGATTGATTTGCGAAAGGATGCATTTGATTTGCAAAAAAAAGTGAGATTGATTTGTGAAAGGAAGCATTTGATTTGCAAAAAAGTGATATAAGAGTCTGCGAAAAAGCATGCTTCCTTCCCCAGCCATACCGATATGCCGCTAGAGCTGGTCCCAGACGAGTTTGGAACTGTGATGGAGCTGTTCCGCTGCCCTAATGGAAGGCTGGTGGCGCCAGATTTGAACCCAGACACCGTTTACAACATGAGAAACATACCTCTACGCGACGATGACATTATGTTGTGCTCCTACGCTAAATCAGGTATGTTAAAAAAAAAACTACCACTACCATCATCATCATCGTCGTCGTCATCATCATCATCTTCATTCTCATCATCATCACTATCATCATCATCATCATCATCATCATCATCATCATCATCATCATCATCATCATCATCACTATCATCATCATCCTCTTCATTCATCACTATCATCATCATCATCATCAGATCTCATCGTCATCATCTTCATCATCAATCATCATCATCACTATCATAATCATCAATATATTCTTTCATCATTCATCTGTATCCATTATTCTAGATCACATCATCATCACTATCTCATCATCATCATCTATCTACCGTGTTAAGCCCTCTTGCGTGTCTCTCAGTCTGAATCTTCAATCTCTCCTACCACTGATCCAGGGGCACCAGAACTTGCAGGTTTAGTCATCTTGAGTCTTATGGAGAGCTTTACTAAAATCCTCACCTCCTCTCACTCCCCAAACAGTTCATAAGGTTGAGCTAAGCTACGCCCTTTCCCAGCTATGTATACCATTTTTTTTCAAGGTGGCGTATACAGATTTTATTAGTTCAGATATATTTTTATAGCCCTTGTCACTCTGCCAATTTGCATATTATTATTATTATTATTATTATTATTATTATTATTATTATAACTATTATCATTATTATTATTATTATAGATCACTTAAAAAAATAAGTCAAGAGACCAAGCAATATAATTCATCACATTTTTTAAGAAATCGCATCCGGAACTACATCGGCCATGCTGTCAGAAAGGCCAAGACCAGACTCCCCCATCAAGCCCTCAAATGGACACCGGAAGGGAACAGAAAACGGGAAAGACCAAGCGAGACGCTGCATTGAAGCACCACCAGGGAAGGCTGAACCATGGGGCCTAATAAACATACGAACCGCCAATCATAGAGAACAATGACCTCTGACCTATGTGCCACCACAGACTAAAAAGAAAAGTATAACTTAAAAAAAAAAACAAGACTTAGGCACCTTTGGTAATAGTAACATTAGTCTCCCCTTGGACCGCCCACATACACATTAGTTCACTTCTGATTGGTCGACCTTTAGCCTACCTCACTTCTGATTGATCGGCCTTGAAACACCCGACCTTCACTCAGGGTGACGTCGGTGTTCCCCAATGCCGTTGAAATCGCGTGTTCTTTATTTCACCCTGCCAGCGCTTCTAACACTCCAAAAATATCGACAGCTGGGTCTAACACTCAACCCTTTTAGAGAGTGACGAAACTCATGTCACATGCAATCTCTTTCTCGTAATAAAAACGTAAATGCAACACAACAACAGAGCGCCACACCCATAATCTCGACCACGGTAGACTAGTCCAACAAATTTATCAATGGAACGTGACCTACTTCCCGTGGGGAGACTAGCGTTTGTTTAAATCCATCTTCAAGCCCCCCCCCCCACCCCCCACCCACGTGTGTATGGGAGGGGAGGGGTGGGTTCCATGCTCCCTCTGTTGCAGGTTGTCTTTGTGTCGGTACCTGCGCTGATAATTTCAGACATGATAATGTTAAACTGCTGCACTTTGATCCATTACTACCAACTAGCAAAATAACTTGAGGCTGCCAGAGATGTTTTAAACATGAGCAACGCGAACACACTTATTCTAGCATTTACGTATTTGAGAGAGACAACAAGACATCTGATCCACTTCGCATCGGCGACCGAGTCACCCACTGGCTCACCGGTAGACGCCTTCGTCGCCTGTCAGGATAGTACTTGGGTCTGTCTCCATTGATCGCATTACCACTGCAGGTGTCCTTTTCAGGGCTCTTAGGGTGGATCTTGAGCTCTGACTCCACCGGTTAATAAAAATCTAGGGTATGTGTTTTACACTTTTGAACGCAGTATGACAAGATATTTTTGACATCAAGACAACTTTCTTCCAAGAATAAGAATCTTGTAAACAAGAAACATAATGTAATAATTTCACTGTGATAAATGAAGACGAAATGCGGAACAAAGAGAAACAGAACGATAGTTCACAATGTTCTCAAAGAGTTGAGACTAGAGAATGGGTCTCGCTAGGTTGTCACTGCCATTTCCGGGATCATCATCGCTTGGAGAGTAGAGACAGATTACTGGACGCAGTCGGGTTCTGGCTGCTTAAGTGTTCCTTAGCGCTATCAACTTATCTGGATACTGCAGGTCCTCTGTGTGCCGAATTGTGGATCTCAGCAACGTCTCGATTCTTGGAGTATATCTTCACGACGATGATTCTCCCCAGGGACCGATAAAAAGACAACCAAGACTTCCCAGGGACTTGTTGGCGTCAACTTCACAAATGGCCTGGTATAGCGGTCAATGGCAGGTCAATACTATTGGTTTCTCTCCAGTTGATAGTTAGCTGGAGAACCGGACTAGCACATGGACATAAGCTGGATCTTCCAAGATCCCATGCAGACGAATATATTTCAGAGAACAAAGATGCTTTATTAACGGTCAAGTGGCCACAGTGCTATCTACTTGAACGGACTGAGTAGAAGTGACGTATAGAATCTTCGTCTCTGACTACAGCCGTTGAGCCCGAGCTCGCAGTGAAGCGGTCAAACTATTAAGCTTGAACAAGCGCAGAAAACGTGTCGTATCATTTATATTGACACTATACGCCAAGAAGGATCAATTTAAGAGTGATTTATCTATGTTTTTCACAGCCGGACTTCCCAACAACAAACGAACTATATATCTACAGACGGACTATCCAAGATTTTAGATACCCCAAATAGCATAGGGGTGTGCAGACTGTGGGCAGGTCTATTGTGGTAGGGGAGTTTATTTTGTTATCTGACAAAGGGGCAGGGTGTACCTTATTTGGCATACGCTGAGTTAAAGCTGAAGAAAGAAGGAAAGCAACCGAAAATACGAATGGGACAGGGGTACCGACACAAGAGCTGGGAGCCTCAGTCTTCTTTCAATTTTTTTTCCGGTAAAGGGGGTGGGAGGGGGAAGAGAGGGGCATGCGAGTCTAAGATCGGTTCAAGTGTGAAATGAAAAAAAAAATTAATGAATGATGCATAAATATTATGATATTTTTGACATATTAGGAACTGTAAAAACTAAATACTTAAGAAGGAAACTTTATTACATTGCTATGGGAGCCACTTAGCTGGCTTGCAAATTGTTTGACGAGGGTGTGGGTAGAACTTTGGGGACTGTTTTTAATAGAGCGCCCCCTTCTTCGTTCCCCCCCCCCCCTCTCACCCCAACCCTAACCCAACGACTATGGCCACGAAACCCACGGGGGAAATTAATTAATTTATTACAAACTGTGGCTGGTTCCCCATTTGCAGAAGTGTTAAACTCCAGCTCTGGCAGTCTGGTCGAGGTTATGGGTGTCGCAGAAATATACAACACGCAGTATGAGCGCGAGTGTGGAATATTTCCGTGACCTTGTGCGAAAGTCGGATCGCTCGAGGCCGACCTATCAGTGTGAGGTGGTCAGCAGAGCGTCCAATCAGAAGCGAGCTAGTGTGTAGTGGTGTGCAAATGGGGTGACCAGCGTAAAATTTACCCAGACCGTTTCCTAACTCAGATAGCCTGACGGATCACTGAATCCAGTAAGTGCCACTTAAAAATTTCGTGGCATGCTAAACTTACACGACACCGAACTTTTTGTAGTCTGGGATCTCAGTGGCGAAGTGGTAAAATCGTTTGCAACGTGTTCTTAAAGTTGTGGGTTCGTTTCATGGCTGCGTCGTTCGATTCACGGGTGCGTTTTAAAGGAGATCGTTCGCTGAAGCTTCACAGTTCGTGCTTTGTGTGACGCCCTCTGCAGAAGGCTAGCCGTTCAAGCGAAGAGAGCGTGGAAAATAAAACCCTGTGCAATAAAGTCGATCTTGACACCGGTAACATGTGAGCTATTCTGCAGGCTGCCACTGGTTGTGGGACGTGCTGAGGTACCTGCGATTCGGTGTGGCCGACGATTTGGACAAGGTGGATAAGGAGACACACATGGTGGAGTATAACTCTCTGGAGACTCTGGAGCAGCTGCAGTCGCCGAGAATACTTAACAACCATGGGTAAGTACAGAAAGCAAAGGATAGTAGTTATACTTGTTGTTTTGGGCGCACCTTAGAGGACAATGGGAAGTGTGTCTGAGTATTGTGTATTTATCTGTTCATGTTTTCTGTTATTACTGTGGTTGACAACCAGTGGAGGCGTCTTTGCTTCAGTAGACATTGTTGTCTCACACAGTTCGTTCATGTAAAGGATAGGCACCTAACTAACTAACTAACTAACTAACTAACTAACTAACTAACTAACTAACTAACTAACTAACTAACTAACTAACTAACTAACTAACTAACTAACTAACTAACTAACTAACTAACTAACTAACTAACTAACTAACTAACAACTAACAACTGACTAACTGACTAACTAACTAACTAACTAACTAACTAACTAACTAACTAACTAACTAACTAACTAACTAACTAACTAACTAACTAACTAATTAACTAACTAACTAACTAACTAACTAACTAACAAACAAACAAACAAACAAACAAACAAACAACTGACTGACTGACTGACTGACTGACTGACTGACTGACTGACTGACTGACTGACTGACTGACTGACTGACTGACTGACTGACTGACTGACTGACTGACTAACTAACTAACAGTCTGTCTAACTAATAAACTTACTGACTATCTAACTACCTAACTATCTATGTATTTAACAAGATTTGTCTTTCTGGTCTCCAGCTTTTTTGAGGACCAACCCACTGACCTATTTAACAAGAAGGTGAAGGTCGTGTTCGTTTATAGAAACATCAAAGATCTGGCGGTATCTTACTACCACCATCACACCCGATTCCCGGAATACAAGTACCAGGACACTTTCACACACTACATCAGGCGGTTCGTCGCTGGACTAGGTATGGTAAATTTGAGTTCCCATTGCAGAGAGTCCTACGTAGGTTTCGATAGTGATATCGAGAGTCGATCGCTAACTGAGCAAAGGCGAACTAATAAAGGTCAAATTTGCCTAGACAAACCACAATAGCTAAACGTAAAAAAAAAAATGATGGGGCTTGTTATGCAACGACATGTAAGGATATACGACTAATTAACTGAGCTACAGGGAAGTATTAAACAGTAGGTCACAAAAATAAAGGCTAGCATAGGTTGAATGACGGCTCTGTGGCTAAGTCGATGCGAACGCTTCGTAATGCCGGGGTGCCGGGTTCGATCCCAGCTGCGGGCCATGCGCGTTGCTTTTGTTTCGACAGTGGTATCAGTGGACCGACCGTACATGAGCAATGGCAAACTACTGGACGTAAATTTACCTAGAGAAACAACACAACAGCCAGGAGCTGCTGGGGTTGGTTCTGCAACGTCCTGTAAAGGATACGCAACTAACCTTACAGGTTGAATCAACGGATCAACATCATGGCACAAGGGCAATAACCCATAAGTGCTTGCTCCGTTCTACTTCTAACTCAAACCAGAGTCCGGCAAGGATCCTAAAATACTGTGGGTAAATTTGTAACCGGGCAGCACCGTTAGGCTACTTAACTAGCAAGGGATTTTTTTTTTTTCAAAAGAGTGTGCAGCCATACACACGGGCGTTTGATCTTACGACCCAGTGACAAGAGGAAATTACCAGAACTCCGCGCAAAAACTCAGCCTTCACCTGGGTCTCAACCACGGACCTACAGCACTAGAGGCGGACGCCATGCCAGAAACTGTTCAGAGGTCTAGAATATGAGTTGCTAATAAATCGTAAGAGAGAACAATACCATACAAGATCATTTGAACAATCCCAAAAGATGTGTTACACAATATCATTATCACGAATGTTTTATTGTTTGATTCTTATCCCTGAGATATCAATCACTCACAATCAAAATTTAAAAGTTAAGGACCCCTTTCAACGGCTTTTAGGCGTATTGAGTATGTAGAACTAGACCTATATATTGTGTAGACCAACAGCACAAAAGGGGTGATGTGGTCAGCATTCACTTCCCAGGACTGCACCCGGTACACATTCAAGGCTGGGTCGATCTGGGAGCCAAGGTCATTTTCGAAAGAAAAAAAAAAAGTCCGGCCCACCAGGAAGCGAACCCACAACCTTCCGATCCGCAGACAAGCGTCTAGTCGCAAATTTAGAGGGGCACAAATGTTCATAAAAACATCGTCATCATTAATCATCATGTGGGCAAATAAACATAATATTGAATGTGAAATATTTTAAGATGTATAAACTAATTCTTGGAGAGCTTCTACATATGGTAGCCGTGGGGGGGGGGGGGGGGGGGGGGGGGGGTGGGGGGGGGGGGGGGGGGGGGGGGGGGCGGGGGGGGGGGGGGGGGGGGGGGGGGGGGAGGGTAAGGGGCGGGCGGAGCGGGGGGGTTAAGTTACCTAGGTCCCCAGGTACCGGCACCCCAGGTATGGCATGCCTTCTTTAGAATATAGACACTAGTATCTTTCAATGTTTTTTAATATTACCTCAGTGGACAATGGAAGTGTGTTTGAGTATTGTGTATTTATATCTACACTTTTTTCTGTTATTCCATTTAGTGGACAATGGAAGTGTGTTTAAGTATGGTGTATTTATCTGTCACTCATCATGTGCTAGCGGGCAAATAAACATAATATTGAATGTGAAATATTTTAAGATGTATAAACTAATTCTTGGAGAGCTTCTACATATGGTAGCCCGTGGGGGGGGGGGGGAGGGGGGGGGGGGGGAGGGGGGGGAGGGGGGAGGGGGGGGGGGGTTAAGTTACCTAGGTCCCCAGGTACCGGCACCCCAGGTATGGCATGCCTTCTTTAGAATATAGACACTAGTATCTTTCAATGTTTTTTAATATTACCTCAGTGGACAATGGAAGTGTGTTTGAGTATGTGTATTTATATTACACTTTTTTTCTGTTATTTCATTTAGTGGACAATGGAAGTGTGTTTAAGTATGGTGTATTTATCTGTCACTCATTGTTGTTATGTTTAGTGGACAATGCAAGTGTGTTTGAGTATGGTATATTTATCTTTCACTCTTTTCTGTTATTATGTTTAGTGGACAATGGGAGTGTGTCTAAGTAGTGTGTATTTATCTGGCACTCTTTTCTGTTATAATGTTTAGTGGACAATGGAAGTGTGTTTGAGTACTTGCGAGGCTGGGAGGAGGGGATCCATAACACGCCAGGCCTGAATATTCACGTTGTCAGCTATGAGGATATGAAAGAGGTAATGCACAGTGGCATGTACAGTTGTCTGCTTAGCTTATATTGTGATATTTTAACAACTTTCGTGTAGTTATTACTTATAGTATTAGCGTCAAATCCAGGTAGGCTGAACCAGGCAGCAAATGCCGGAAGTCCGATGTGTCGGCCGAAAGGCGCTAATATACCTGCCATGCTGTAAACTAGCAAAATTACGTCTTTGATTGAAAGAAGAAAGAAAAGCGGAAGTTACCAGGTTGTATATTGCCAACGCCAGTATCTATACAACTAAATCAAGCACACAACAAATATGCCTCGTCCCAGCCTAACGCTATAATGCAGTGCAAAGAGAAAATTGTAACATTTCAACGTACAGATTCTACAATTCATTGTCTGGCGTCAAGGCCCCTGTGTAACAAGCAACGGAATCAGTAGAGAAAGAAGAATTTTATAGCCCGGAAAATCTGAGGCACCTGGGTGTAACCAGAGGGTCTGGTCGGCTCAATACACTCAGAGGAAAGAAAAGACGGACATACAAGGTCCGACAATTAGGTAATGAGACTGATTCTATTATAGCCAAGACAAAAACACCATCTTTGAATCAAAGCATGGAATCTAAAGAGGCGACATTTATCTATGATCTGGCAACTTTTCAAGGCCGCTCGATAAGCAGACAACAAACAAGCCGCCATTTTATTTACCTAGTCAGAGGTGCATTGTTACGTAGCAAAAAAGGTAACATTAAACTATGTTTAAAACTCAGAGAAATTAAAACAGTTGAATTGATGCAACAAGTTTATGGGGATCATTATTTATCTCGTGCACACATTTTCAGGTGGTATTCACGATTCAAAAGTGGTGTGGAAATGATTACTAATGTACCTAGACATGGACGCCAAGTTTCTGTTCGTAATGATGAACTTATTGAACTGAACTGAATTTCTACCCCACCAGGACATCACACAAGCGACAAACACCCGATGACACAAAGTGCCACCATGTGGATGAGGATCACCGTGGAGAGGTCCCAGAAACCGCGTTGAGACATTTTGGCCATATTTATGGGCCTGCCTATATTGCGTCGCCACCTGGCAAAAGCCAGAGTAGGCTTTCAAACAACAAAAAGTTTCGTCTCTAAAAGGGACGAATATTGAGAGGAAGCTATGAACTTAATTGCACAAAGTCGAGAGACGGATACAAGAAGATCGTTTGCTTTTACTAGTGATGTTTGATGACAGTATGATCTAGTGGTAATAGAGAGACAATTCATACACCTTTTAGTGCAAGATTTTGCCCTCGCCCCCCTCCGCCCCCAAAAAAAAAAAAAATTGCTTGGCCGTTTTTGTATCACATTCGCTGTACTGATGACGCAAAAACATAAGCTGGGTTGAGTAGCCTAATAGACATCATCAAATCAATAATTGTTTGGCCCAAAACCAGTGCTGTTCCTCCCAGGCCTTTCACCCTGTTCCCCAGATTTGTCTCCCTGTGATTATTTTCTATTCCCAAAATTAAAGTTACGATTGAATGGCCCCTTCTTTAATGATATTGATGTTATCCAAAGGGCCGTAACATGGACTTTAAGGGTCATAACAACAGAAGAACTACAGAGGTTGTTGCAGTGTTTGTTGGATCGTGCTACTTGCTGTATCAATGAATAAGGGGCTTACTTTGAATCAGATACAGCCTTATTCTTCAACTGTTGATTGTTTTAATTTTTTTAGAAATTTGTCCCCTTACTTTTTTTGGCGGGCCTTTTATACCAGATTGTGACCCGGGCCCCTTTTAGTACTGGAACTCTGCGCTGGGGTGCTTAAAATGGAGATTAAATTTTTGAGTGCTGTTTTCAAATTTTTGACCTCAAATCAGCTTTCCTTTTTTGTCTGGGGATATTTCACTAAAGAGAGACGCTGTGTTGTTTGTGGGGTAAAACATCCGCCTGGATCTGAATGTGGGGGTTTGGGAAACCCCGATGGGGGCCCTTTGTATTTAAAAATAAAAAAAACTTTGTTTTTCAGGTCACTCTCTTGAGGGGCGTACCGGGGACAGTCTTATGAATAAACGCAGCCTGTGTTGCTGCCCAAATCCCCTCACTTGCCGTTTGGGTCAATAAATAGGGGTCTAACTCTTATTTCGGTTAGGGCCTAAAGGCAGGGGGAAAGGGCCCTTATACTTTACTTACATTTTTTCGTTTGTATGCCCGCCCGGTGCCCCCATAAAATGAAAATTTAAATACAAAAGAAATCTATTGTTGAGTCTTTTTTGGGTTTACTTTTAGAAAGGGAAACATTGCTTTGATATAAATGTACTTTTTGAATCATTTTTGGGTTTTTTATTTTTTATTATAAATCAAAATCCTCTAGGGCAGTTGCTCCGTTTGGGGAAAATTTTCCTTGGCCCAAACACAGCCCTGGTTTTTCCTAAAGGCCCGTCCCCAAGGGCCCAAAACAGATTTTGGCCCAATGTGAAAAAGAAGAAAAAAAGGGCAACGATGTACCTGGACCATGAAGGAAAACCCGTCATGTACGGAAAGGGTTTTGGATGTTTTTTGTTCCCTTTTTTTTTTAAAAAGAAAAAAAAAAAAAAAAAAACCCCCCCCCCCGTTTAAACCCGCTGGAAACAGCTTCGTTTATAATCGGGGGTCTTCCTGGGGGGTTCCAATCATACGCTGGGGGGGAAGGGGAAAAAGGGGGGGGGGGGTTTAAAAATGAACAGTCCCCCAAAAAAAAAAACGATTTCCCGGGCCAAAAGGGACGTTTAAGGCCCGGGGCACTTTTTTGGAGGGGGGCCCAAAATTGTTTTTTCTGCTTTTTTTCTTCCATTTGTAGACGGGAAATAGTTTCGGGCTCACAGTTCGATTGAAAAGCATGGCGTGACACTGTGGGGCGGATTTAAATTTTAATGTTTTTTTTAACGTGACCAACGGGGTGGTGGAAACTGTAGATTCGAAAATGTCATGGGTTCCCGTCGTTTCAAAAATGGGGTGCCCCTTATATGATTAAAATTGGTCGCTGTGCAACTGCTGATCATTTTTGGGGACTTCCCGCTACCCTCCAAAGTGAACTGCATTTCTAAAGTCCCGGGCTGTTTTTTGTTATCACTTTTGGGTGGTACCCAAGCTTTTTGTGTGTTTAGCTAGATTGCCAGAACCAGCGTTGTCCCAAAATTTTCCCCAAGGGACGTGATAAACTTCGTTGGTTTTTTTGCTGGCACAGGAGGGGGTGAAAAATGGGGTGACCCTTTGCTTTTTAGGGTGAAACTAAGCTACCAAAAAATACCAGCCCCGTGCCCCCAAAAAACAACATCGTAAAAATCCCCTAATTAGGTATGTTTTCCCTTTGGGTCGGAGTTCCCTCTGCTTGAGAGGGGAAGGGGGACCAAAAGCCTGCTACAAATACACAAGAAACTGTAAAAATTAAGTTTTTAAAAAAAAAATTGAAGGGCCAGAAGTGGATGAAAAACCGGGGCTTCAGCCGGATTTTTTCCCGGGTGTGAATTTTAAAAAAAAAAAGAATAGGGAAAAAGTGTTGGTTTTATTTTTGCCAAGTAAAAATGGCTGAAAGGGGTTTTTTTGTCCCTACGGTGTGATGTTTCACTCTGAACATGTTTGGGGTTTTCCATTTTGGTTCTGTTGTCCGGTTTTTTTGTGTCCCTTTTTTTCTTTTTGGGTTTCAATTGTGCTTTTGTAAATTTTGAAGGTTGCATAAAATGTGTACACTATACATTTGACTGGGAATAGACTGGAAATTTAAAGAGGCATTTTTCCGGGAAAAGGGCTTGCGATTAAAAGGATTCTATTTACCAGAATCGGGTGCCTTCTTCTTCTTCTTTTCATAATTTCCCCCAGTGAGGTGTTGGGGGGTAAATTTAAAGAGGATTGTTTTTTGCCTTTTTTTTTTGAATGGAAAGTACAAGTTGTGTTCATTTTTGTTTGGTTTTTTTCCCGATGATGGGCTCCCTCTCTTGCAATTTCCCTTGCCTGCCCTTCACTATATTTTGGGGCCCCTGTGGCATTGGAACCAAAGGGAAATTTCCCAAACGGATGCAAACATTTTTTAAGAAAGGGGTTGTAGTCCCCCCCTTCTTCTGCGGGCCAAATCTTTCTTCTTTACCCGAAATGTCCCAAAAGCCCGGGCGACAAAATCGCTATGTTTAGCTTTTATTCAAACTGGGGCAAGATTTGACGTCAAAAGGGATTCAGCGAAGCCCCTTTTTCTTATGTTCCCCCTTTCTTCTTTCCCTTTTTCCGAGTTTTAGAAAGCGCCTTTAGCCCGCAGAATCTTCCCCTTTCAGCATTTTCTCCCCGGTGCGAGTTTTTAGTAAACTTCCATTTTGGTTGTTAAAAATCGTCCTAAAGGCAAAATTTTCACCTCTGCCCCGTGCAGTTTGGAGGGTTAAAAAGCAAGTTTTGGGCCCTTCCCGGTAAAACCCATTTACTTTCTCATTTCCCAAACAAGCCCCACTCGCCCGGGAAAAATCCATGTGATTCCACCAACTTGGGTCCCAGGTCGACCCCGCAATGAGGGGTACCGGGTTTCAAAACCCGGGGAATAAGGCGGGGCGTGATGGGTGACCACCCTCACCCATTTTTTGTGCCAAATTTTTCTATAAAAATTTTAGGTCAGCCCTATTTTGCCCTAAAACGCCTTAAAAAGGGGTGGAAAGGGTCTTTACTTACCTTTTTTCTTTCACTCACCATCTGCGTTTATGGATTTTTCGTGACCTTTCCAAAAGAAGAAACCACCTTTTTGGGGTATGCTTTGGGGATGCGGGCAGTTTTCGCCCTTTTAAAAACCCTAAAAATCCTGGTATCAAATAGGGGGCAATGTGTGTTTTGTTTTTTTTAAAACCCCCTTGTGCCCCATGGGTCTATAAATTATTGGTTTTACCCTATTGCCCTATACGCCCAAAAGGGTTGGAAAAGGGTCCTTTACTAGAGTTGGGCCCCCTCTCTAACGTAGTTGGCCTTTAAAACCGGGTTGGGGCGGGACCCGTGGGCGAATCCTTTTGGGCCCGGGGTTTAAACCGGGGGTAGGCAGGGAAAACCACATTTTCTCCCCGAATTTCCCGGGAATTTTCAATAAACAAGGGCCCAAAAGGTTGGGGATATCCATAATACCCAGCCAAGGGGAAAATCTCATGGTTCTAGATCTAAAAAAAACATATATATATTAAAATATATTTTATATATTAATATAATTTTAAAAGATATATATATATATATATATATTTTTATATAATATAATTAAAATTGACCAAACGCTAAACATCGTTTTTTTTACTAATAAATATTATTTATACTTTTATCATAGTTACCAAAAACCCCAAATCCCCCTTTGAGTACATGGGGTACCATTTAACACCCTGTTCTATTGTATCATTTTCGGACTAAACTTTTTTGACTAGAAAAACTTTTACCCTATTGCAGGTCGGTAGGAGAAAGGAGAAACCACTTCACCGTTGCCGCAACGATTGGGTGGACGCCATCATTGAAAAAGAAAATGGGTAACCCAAAATTTTTTAAATTTTTAAAAATTCAATATAATTTATTTTTGTTTTCAAAAAATTTTTAAAATATCATCCTTTATCGTGTGTTTATGCGGATGGCGTAGGTTTTATGTTTTCCCATTTTACCTATCCCTCACAATATTTATCATGTTAAAAAGTTCATGTCTGGTTCCCAAAACCATCCCCTTCAAACTAAGCTATTTTAAAAATCTTATTCTTTTGTATTCCTTTTCCTTTGTCCCTTGTCCCTTTCCCGTTTTTTCCAAATTTTTTTAGTGTTTCTCGGCTGTTGTTCTTTTTTAAAATATATATAATTTTTTTTTAATTTTTAAAAACACCAAATATAGAGAAGGGGTAATTTTTCCGAAAAAAAAATTTTTAAAGAATTTTTCCCAATTTTCCCCCGAAAATTTTTCATATTTGGGAAAACTGCTTTTTTTTGCCTTTCAGTTTTTATTAATTTTCCCGTGCATTTTCGTTGATGTTTTTTTTTTTTTTTTTAATTTTTTTTTTTTTATTTTAAAACAACAAAGTATGGAGACGGGATAATTATTTCCCAAAAATTTAAGGGAAAATCGATATTTCAAACATAGTTTTTCATATTTGACAGCGCTTTTTTGCCTTTCAAATTTTTTTGGTATTTTTTTATTTTAAATTTTTCCTACTTCAGAAATTTCCCTTTTGTAGGATTAAAATATCAGGGATG